GGGCGCCCCGTGCCGGGGTTGGGCTGCGCGGCGGGCGCTCGCGGGCTCTGCGCGATTGGAATATGGTTGGGGAAATGGAAACCAAGGAGAAGCCGAAGCCGAGCCCCGATTATCTGATGCAGCTGATGAACGACAAGAAGCTGATGAGCAGCCTCCCTAACTTCTGCGGGATCTTCAACCACCTCGAGCGGCTGCTGGACGAAGGTAAAACACTCCCCCGGGCCTCCGCGCTACTCCTTGGAGCCGCCTGCGTTCTCCATTCCAGCCCCAAGAGCCGGGGGTGGGCGCTTCCCTGGCTCCTTCTCCTCCCGGGTCTCTTCAGACTCGATCTCGGCCTTTCTCTTCACAAAACAAAGGGGCAGTGGGGTACCTCCAGTTTGTGCCTGCAGCATCAGAGGTGTGGTGGGGGATCTCGTCTTGTGTGGTCCCCCCCCCTCCGGTTTTCTGCACATTGTCTGTTAAATGAGGGGAAGGGGAACCACTACCTTATGGAGGAGAGGGAACGAACAGGAAGGGGAAAGGCGCTGAGGAATGTGGTTTGGGGGGGAGGTGGGGGGACGGGAAGGTCGTTTTCAAGCTGTGTGGCTACTGGATCACGCTGGAAAGTATTGAAGGGAGAAAAGAGTACTATGTGGTGCCTTTTTTTTGGAAGGGGGGCGGTCAGTCGACTTATTTTGCGGGCCTGGAGCCAAGGGAAGGGTGTTTTGGTGTCGGGATTTGGCTGTTCTGGAAGCTGCTTCAACTTGAACGACGAACGCCTGAGAGGCAGAGCTCCTTCCCCTTCTCTGGCATGGGCCCCCGCATTACCCCACCCCAAACTGGTCAAAGTAATAATTAAAAATTTCCTAGCGCCTGAGAAGGGAGCAGACTCTTCTCTCAGTTGTCGTTACCTTTTAAAGAAGCTAACCTAAAGAATCCTACGTGTGAGTCTAGTTACTGAAAAGAATTAAGAAATAAATTCTCTGCTGCCAAATGTCCGCTGCTGCTTTCAGTCAGGGCGCCGTCTTTTCTGAGCCCCGCACCCAACTCCTTGCAAAGGGTGCAGAGAGGCCGCTTAGTCTGGGCCACATTCGTTCTCGCTTAATGATTCTTTTTCCCGGAGAGTGTTTACAAATCAATTATCTCATTTTAAAAGAATGTCAGACGTTTGAAACCTCAAACGTCGTCTGCCTGTTCTCTTTTAATAACTGCGTTATTGTAGCGAAGTTAAGTAGTCTCCTTGTATTTAGGGGGTTTTTAGGCTCTTTGTATGTTTAGGGTACCCGTTGGTGCTCAAACAATAGTACTCAGCTGAATGTACCGCCACTCACCTTGGTGGGAAACTACAGACTGAACTATTTAAATTATATTAAGCCGACTTTAGTAATCTGTGTAGAAATGAAAACCGTTGAAACAATTTCAACTGTGTGGAGAGTTTAACAAACTACAGGATTTTGAGATCTTATTGGAAAGGATTTCTGCCTGCAGTAATATTCCTTATTACTTGAAAGAAAACTTTGTCAAAAGATTTACTTCAGACGGGAAAATAATTGCTTATATTTCATAGGACAAAATATTTAAAAATGTGAAAATGAGAATGTAGCAGAAAATAACCTACCCAGAAAAGTACCTTTTTGGAAGGAAATGACTGGGGTGAAAAACAAGAATTGGTATAAATGGACTCTAGTAAGCAGTATTTCCATGGAGAAATTGTTTCTGAGGATTGCTTTTATAAATCTGGAGTGGATAAACGTGGTCATCACAAGAAACTACTTAGAACATATAATTATGATTGCTGTAAAATATTCTTCAGAAAGATTCAAAAACAAGGGATGTAAAATCAAAAAGAAACTGTATGAAGACACATTTAAATATACATGAACTCCACAGTGGCTTGGCAATGGATTTTAAAAAGTTCCTGAAGACTCTGAAAGTTATATGATCTGGGTGGGGGGGAGCCCTACTAAGTTTATTGGTCATAAGAACAAAAGAAACATCTCTTGTTTCAAATGGATATTGAAATAGAGGAATACATGAGGTCACTGCATCTTTTGAAGGTCATTGAATCCTGGAATACTTGGAAATCTGTTCTTTTAGCAAAGTTTGCTAAATCCAAAACAATGGATATGAGGACTGTGTGATGGAAGTTTAAAAACGTTACTGAACATTCACCGTCTCTTTTTCCAAACTGCTCATGCATTTTATGTTTCTGAATAGCCCAGGAAGCATTCTGCTGCTCTTTCAAGTATTCCTGCTCTTTTCTTGATTGCATTGGTGTTGGGATGGAAGAATTGCGGAGGCCGAAAACTTTCTGGAATGTTTAAAAAAAAAAAAAAAAAAGTTGCTTGTAAATCTAGTGAAAATTTCAAAGTGTGAACACTAAGGGGCGCCAGTTCTTTCTTTTTGTGAGAAAGATGAGGACAGATTTGTAAGGTCTTGCTAACCTTAATATTACAATTAGTATCTTTACTAGAAGATAGTCAAGAATTACATTTGATATGCTTAAATATCATACTTCTGTATTAAATAATTACGATATGCAGTGTTAGTGTATGAACTTTTATAAAGAAACATGCACCATAGAAAAGTTAGCCACCTTTTTACACACATCACAATGGGCTAGGAAGAAATTCTACATAACTACTGTCAACAAAAAGAGCAAGTTAAATCTAATATTGTTTCCGGTTCAAAATATTTACCTTAATTTGTTTAGCTTTTTGGGACACCCAAGATTTAATTTAGAACACACAGAGGTGTGTGTGTGAGATAACTTTAAGATTTCTTAGTAACTCTCAAAATAGTACCAAATATTTATTACCTCTTAGGGAGGCAGTCATAGAAAAATAAAGAAGAAAGGGAGTTAGGTTATTTTTCATCAGCAATACAGTATGTTCACTTTTCAATAATTACATTACTGTTTTAATAGTAATGGTAGTTTCTGTTCCAGGATATCTTCATTTTTAAGAAGCTACCACAAAACATGGAATATACAGGACATGTTAGGCTTTATATAGATTCAATTATGTATGCTTTTGGAGACATAACATTTCCAAAGGATTAGCAACTGCATCTCTTTTGTTTATTCCCTACCATCCTAATTAAAATACGCATGTACTTAAAAATCCCTTGATTTTAAAAACATTAATTTCTACTAAAACAATTTTCTTATACTGCATTATAGAGTTTAGGTTTTTTTTTGTACATGATCTTATTTAAAGACAACAAATGGAGTGCATGTGATCTTGTAATTCCTGTGTTAAATCAGAAGCAGAAATTGAACCATGTATTCTGCTATCTGATTGTCTGGGACTTTTGTTACTCTTTTTACTCTCTCAAGCTGTTATAATATTTATCTTAAGTGACTTGCGAAACAGCCCATTCTATTCTGAACTTTGTTATTCAAAACATATTTTCATTTTCTGTACATTTCTCTGAAGACTGATCTTTGAAGAAACTGATACTTCATGCTGAACTTTGATTGAAGACCCTTGGCTTAGCTTTTTTTCAGCTTTAACATCAGCTTAAAGGCTTATAGTGGAGGTTATGAATGTGGGCTTTCTTTTAAAAAAACTCTATAAAACTCTGCTTTGCTTACAACTATTTCTCAAGTTGCAGCCATTTCAACTCATGTAAAAAAAGAGTTGTTTTGAGATTAACAAGGATGTTTAAAATGAACATCATAATAGCTAGGAAGTTGAATTGTTTTTATCAGACTAGCGCAAACTTGTTGGAGGAGGTTTTTTTTCCTGAATGTCAAATAGGCTGTATTTCCTGTAATTGTTTGCACCATCAAATGAGATTAAACTTTTTGCATTAGGTCTTAGTTTCTAAAATACTTGAATATTTTGTTTAACCTATATTATGATTTTGATAACTTAAATTTTTACTTTTCCCTTTAAAATATGTCCTCTTTCACAAAAAAATAATTTTCACTTCTTGAACTTGGTCATCTAGAAATGAAGGATTTTGAACTCTGTCAGTGGAAGTTTAGTTCAGACGTATTCTGGAATAAAAAAAAATCAGGTTTATTTGAAACTATGGTTTTTAACCTTTCTTTACATTTTTTAGAGAATAAAAGGTATATTCTGATCTTAATAGAAGGCATTTCTAAAATACATAAATTCTATCAATGAGTTTAAAATGTTAATCAAGTAGTCTCACTAGCTATGGATGTTAAAATGTTTTCTATATTTGTCAGTAATCCTGACTTTTAGAGTAACTTAGCTTACTGTTTAAGAATATCTTTGAACTCCTGAAGCTACAAATGGTAAGATTTTGATGCACTTTGGTATTATGCATCTCTAATAGTATCTGGTCTTTGACTTTCAGAGACTATGTATGCATGTGGACTCCCCAAAGAGCTGCAGTTCTTCATAGTATTGTTCTTTACTCTAAGGCCCTACCCAAAAGCCTTTTGCTTCAGTGTAACTTGCTCTCTTTAGGAGTGAGGGACTTAAAGATAAATCCAATCAAAAACTCTTTATTTGTGTGTATACATGTTTCTGAAAGGAAATGATGAATTAGGCCTTTTTTTTGGGCTGCTTTTGAAAACAAATATTAGTTTCAAACAAATGTAAAACATGTTAGGGTCAACCTGACTATTAGTAGAAACAACAAATTTAACTATTAATGTCTTGAGATTTAAATTAGATGTATGTTGCTCTCCATTAGTCCCTACACTGGCTCCAAAAAAAGTGAATATCAAAGCTGAACTATGAAGGGCCAAATGCTACAGGTTTTTATAAGTGGTCCACTTGGCCTCAGCCAGGCTGCTTGCATTACTAAAGTTTGCAGGAATGGATACCAAGACTGTAAATGTTTCTTTGAGATAATTTGGTTAACTTTACACATGATTAGTTTGGTTTACTTAAATGAGGATACTAGCATAGGCAAAGTTAAACCAGGTGAAGGGCTCTCGAGGGTCAAAACCTTAAATATGTGTCTTTTCAGAATACAAGTAAGAGGTAAATGTGCCATTAATAGTGTACACAATACACACATCTGTTTTCTGTGTAGATATTAATACCCACTTTACTGTTGAACCTTTTCAGGCACTTGTTGCTGCAACTGTATGTATAAGATTCTTATTGGACCGTTCCACTTTATAGGCTGACATACAGCAACAGACAAGCTTGTAGAGCTCCAGAATCTGTTTAAAAGGTCTGTAGTTACAGGTATTGCATGTTCCCATTAGAAATTTGTTAGAATACTTTTAAAAACAAAAG